ATACAACTAACTGATGCTCCACTATCTAGAAGTCCTTGATAGGTTAAACCATTAATTTGAACGGTCATATATGGTCTGATGTCATCGTGTCCACCTATTGTTGTTGAAGCAATATTTTTTCGTATAGCTTTTCTTTCTGCATATCTGTTTCTAGTATTTATTATCTTTTTGCTGGTAATTGGACGATAATTTGAAAAAATTTCTGCTCGTTTTTCATTATAGTTGTGTAATCGTTGTTCATATGTCAGATTGGGATTAATATTGTTTCCGGGAATTGGTATCGTTGTCGTACCAGGATTATTGTCCGGTGAGTGGGTTTTACTTATATCGATTTTTGTATTATTTCTCATAATATCGATTTCCTTTATATTATCAGTTTTCTCATTTGTTTCAGGAAGAATATAATTCAGGAAGTTATCACTTAATGGTTGGTATTTTGGTTTGAACACACTGGCCCAGTTATCCGTGTGTTCTGTTTGGAGTTTCCCGCACATCTTGGGCAGCTTGGGCTAGTAACGTCATCGAACCCACACCTATAACAGAAGATATTTCTTTGTGAAACTGGGCATTCAATAAATGAATGTCCTGGTGCCTTGCAGTTCCAACAAGTAAGTGGTTTCGTTGATAACTTTTGCTGTTGGATAGCTTCTACTTGGAGCATTTGTGCGTCTTCCTCAGAGCAGCTGTGAATATCCATTTCATATACTTTCCGGTTATTTAATATTGACATCCGGTTTGTTGATCGCTTGGCAATGTTCCTTTCAGCCCTCTTACATTCTTCCAATAGTTGATCCAAATTGTCAATCTTAATAGGAAATATCAACTGAGCTAAACCATCCTTCAGATTATCTTTTACGATATTCACTAGTTCGCTTTCCAAAACATGTATGCGCATCTGATTTTTTAGTTTTATAATTTCCGTAATAAAGGCGTCTGCTGATTCATTATGGAGTTGCCTTCGCTCCATAATCCGTCTTTGGATTTCGAAATCACTTTCGAAATTTCGAAATTTTCTTATTATGTGATATTTGAAAGTATTCCAATCACATACCGGGTATTTCATACGGAATGACCAAAACCAGGTACTAGCTGCGCCTGTTACCAAATGATGAAAACCTTTCATCACCACATCCCAAGGACAATTGTAGTCACTTTTCAAAACTTCTACCCTAAAAACAAAATCCTCAACCGTAAAAGATCTGTTTGTCCCATCAAATTTTAAACCCCACTTTTCTAGTTGGTTTGGTGATATCGGTTTGTAATTTGGGTTGATATGAGGAGTGGTAAAGTCTTGATATGGTTGAGAAAAGTTTTGAGATGTGTTTCCAAAGAAAGGTTGTTGTATAGGACGATCTCTTCGTTGTTGTGGCATATTGGTTTGTAAATATGGATGTTGTGGCTGTCGCTGATAATTTGGTTGCATATTTGGTTGAAAAGAGTTGTTGGTGTTAAAAGATCTATGCTCCTGATTGTTGTGGTTGTCAAATGAAGTAGCACGTTCAGATCGTAGGGATTCTCTTATTAGTTGCGGTAGCATTAGTTGCATATTTTGAACTTCCCTCATGATGGACGCTTGTGCTGCTTCCACGGAATCACTAACATATTGTCGGAGAGCTCTTGCATCCTCATTAATGACTATGTTCTGGTTAACTTCTTCGTTAGGTGGTAGGTTCTGGTTTTGTTGGCTCATTGTTCCAGTGTTTCTTTGGACTGTATCGCTTCCTTGACCGCTAATTTCCCTGGCTGTTAAGCTGCTATATGTCGGTGTTGTAATGATACTTTCGTTGCTTGGTGACGAGTTTGTTTGTGGTCCGTAATCTGGTGGGAATCTAATGGACATCAACGGAGTAACTGCGTTTGTAGAAACTGATGGTATAGCGATTTGAGCAGATGTAGTAGGAGTATTTCTCTTGGATGTTGTAGCGATTTCAGTTCTATTGGTATTTCCCGCTTTCCTAGTTGTAAACCTAAGTTCTCTTGAGCTCATTATATAAAAATCCACAAGGCTCTGAATGTGTTTAAAAAAATTTAGACACTTTAAAAAAAAACTTCTAGTTATTCTAAATGCAATTCTTTAAAACTAACTACTGAATTAAATCCCAAAATTCTCAAACAGGCCGAACTAGATTTAAAAGAATAATTAGAGATTGCCTCTACGATGAATAAATTTTGATTATATAAAAAATTTTGGTATATGGACATATATTTCAATTTTTTTTTTCGATTTGTTAATTATATGTAGATTATATTCGCAATATTAGTTAATGAAGAAAGAAAATCATAAATCGTTATGAGTAAAGTCTTGTCTGTCTGGTTGTCGTATGTTTAATCTTTGTTATAAACCAACACACAAACAAAATAAATTAATTAGATTAGCATCTAGTAGTAAATTATTATAGACAAACAAACTAAATACTTCATAAATAGTAGTGTTAATAAAAATTGTTAATAAAATTTTTAATAATAATTATTAAATAAAAAATTTTTTTTTTTATTTTCTTTTCTTTTTCAGAAAATTAAATGATTACATTGTGGTTGAAATTTTCGTAGCATAGATGACTAAAAACCTACTAATGGTATTTGAGACTGCTCGGTCCAGATGTATAAAATCACGCGAATAATAGACTCAAATGAATCTAAATTAATTTAGAAAATTGAGTATTTTATTCAAGATTCATACTGTAAATTTTCAATTGTTTTTCTATTGTAAAGAAAATCAAATAAATTTAATCAGTGTCAAGATTTTGCTTGTTGTATTTTTGTCTTTAATTTTGAACTATCTATCATCCAATAGGTTTATTTATCGAGCACTTTACAATATGATCTGAGTCTCTTGGAATCTCCTCTCTTCGCTTTTGAAACATAAACAAATGAACTCTTACCTATATAGGTTTTTGGATCATGATTTTTGTTTCGAAATTGATTTGATTTGAATTCTGTTAACTCTCCTCAGTAATTAGTATCTTTCCCGGATAGATCGCAATTCAGGCATGGTACTATATGTACCTTCCAGGACATATCTAATCCTTGAAAGAAACCTCCTACTGGGTATATGCATTTTTTTAATGCTTTGCGTTGGGCGCCAATTTGTGATAAACCTTTGTTGTTAAAACGGAGATGGCACGCTGGCGGTCGCTGCGGCTGTAGCTCGCCGGAAATGGGGGGTAGTTTTCCGTTTAGTTTAAACACAAATAAAAAAAATTCGTGCCAGATAGGTGAAGGGTTAAATAAAAGAATAGAAACAAAGCGGTCAATAAATAATAATCACCTGGTATACTTTTCGGACAGACATGGGACGATAGGACAAAATTATTTGGTGGACACTAAAGGACACAAGTCTCCAGAATCAGGTGGTGTATTCCTGTGCAGGCTGCCCTCCCACTATGACTTTTGCTAGCCATCCGTGACATCATTCCTGGCCTGGTGGTACAAATTATTATTTTTGGATAATGTCCCTATATAATATTTACCTAGTAGTTTCTTAGATCTAGCTACATTTCAACCAAAAAAGGGCAAATTAGCACATGTTCAAATTTTCAAATCAAATTTCACAAGGTTTATTTATATATGTGGGTGTTAAAACTACTATAGTTAATTGTACATTGAAATAATAACGATTCTTTCATACATTTGAAATCATGGTAATTGAATAATAATATTATTTAAATATTTACATATATGTTACAACAATAACAATGATAAGAATTTACTAAAAATTTTGATAATAACGCTGAAAGTAATGCTTTTAATATTTATCAACGATAATAATTTTTTTTTTAAATATTAAACGTTTAATATTATTGACATGAATTTAAGTATTATTATTATTGATTATAATACACTTATATATGTTCCTTTCAGGGGTTACATTTATGTTTTAATTAATTATTAGTATTTCATTACATTTGTAAGTGTTTTTTTTTTTTTTTTAATAAATAGTTAAATTTATTAATATTAATTTATATTTATAAGTATTGTTACGAAATTGAATTTGCATTTAAACTAAACGGTTTTTAACGGCCAGTTCCCGACATTTCTTAGCGACTAACATTTGGGTGGCATCACTAAGCGTTGAAGAGGTGTGTGTCTCCACTAAACATTGACTTACATCAGTAGAAGTATCTAGATGATGGAGCCAGAATAAACTGGAAATATAAAGAAGGTGATGCCCATGTATAAATAGCGGTGGCAATCACCAAATGAGTCAGTCTGTAATAAATCGTCATTGAGTAAAGTTAATAAAGTCAAGTGTGCTTTCGTGTGTTAAAGATAAAAAGACAGCCTTACAGTCTACTATATAAGTTGTGTTATAAAAGTATTTGTGTATAAAACTGTGTAAATAAAAAGTTGTTGTAGTTTTTAACAAATTGACGCTTTTATTTGCAATAAGAAGAATCCAGTTTATTTCAAAAGGAAATAAACGAACGTTTTAAAAGGTAAAACGTAACAATTGGTGTCAGAAGCGGAATTGCATAATAAAAAGCAGTCATGAAGTTCGAAGAACTAAAAGTGGAACAACTCAAGAGAGAATTGAGTAAGATGGAGTTACCGACAGCCGGTAATAAGGCAGAATTGCAAAAGAGGCTAATAGATGAATTCAAGCGGCGTGACATTGACATAGGTACATACGAATTCGAGTACAAAGAAGAAACTGAGATATGTACTCGCTCAACAACGAGCAACATGGACTTAAACACAATGTTTGCCGCTATGATGGAGAAATTTGCTGAAGTTCAAGAAACTTCTAAGGCTAACTACGAGAAACTTCTTACTGACAACGAGAAACTTCTTACTGACAACGAGAAACTTCTTACTGACAACGAGAAACTTCGAGCTGAGGTTAAAGCTGAAGTAAAGGAAACTTTTAAACACTTAGCTGAAATGGAAGCAAAATTTCAGGAAAGTTCAAGAGCCACAGAAGAAAAAATTCTGGAAGTGTCTGAGGTTATTAATAGCAAAGTAGATGGCATTGACAAAAATGTGTCAGACTTAGAAACAAAGATGAATAATCTGCAATATCAAGAAGGAGCTGTACGAATCATTCCAGAAACCTCGAGTAGAATAAAAGCCCCTAGTTTTGATGGCACCACACCTTTTAATGTGTTCAAGTTCCAGTTTGAGACAGTTGCCATCAGAAACATGTGGAATAATGAAGAAAAAGCTATAGAATTGATCTTAGCCTTAAAAGGAGGTGCTTCAGTAGTTCTTGAGAGCGTACCAGTGAGCAACAGAAATAATTATGACGACATAATGGAAGCACTACAACGCAAGTACGGTGGAGAACATAAAAAGGAATTATACCGAATGGAATTGCGTGGCAGAGTGCAGAAGGCCAATGAGACACTACAAGACTTTGCATTGGAAATCGAGCGATTGATACAGCTTACTTATCCAGGAGAACATCACCCGTTTTTGGATATTTTCAAGATAGAGGCATTTGTAAATGGCATACGTGATCCTGAGATAAAACATGCGGTTTGTGCCACACCAAAGCCATCATTCGCTGAAAATGTCTCATTTGCGCTGGCACAAGAAACGGCTAAAATAATTTCAAAGCCACAAATATTCAAGGTACGAAATGTCGAGGTTGTCGCTGAAAACGAAAGGAATATAGTCACTGAGATAAAAGAGGCAGTTTTAGAGGCTTTAAATGAGAAACAAAATAAAGCCAAAATCAAATGCTATAACTGTGGAAAAACCGGACATATTCAGCGAAACTGCAAAGCACAAAGAAAACGTACCAGATCGGTCTCACCGCCAAGAAACAACCAACAGGTAAATCATCACTCATCACAAGAATCACCTTTAAATTAAAACGAGCTAGCACTGAGGGGCAAGAGCTAGCTCCCACATATGACGGCCCCACAATCTCCATATCAGTAATGCAGCAGAAAAATAGTAATCTAACTGCTGGTGGATACATCAATGGTCGAAAGCACATTTTTACTATAGACACAGGAGCGTCGCAGTCTATTATTAGACCAGATTTAGTTAAGAAAACAATTGAACCACTATGCGGGGTAAGATTACGCACCGCCACTGGAGAGCCTGCCACTGTCTATGGTAAAGTAAATGCGAAAGTAATCATTGCCAACATAAGCGTAGATCATGTATTTATTGTTGCCGATATCGTGGATGAGGTAATCATTGGTGCAGACTTCATGATTATGCATGGCATTAAATTACATTTGGGACCAAATGTTATGATTTGGCGAAATGTTGAAATACCTCTTGATGTCGGATATCAAAGCAAGGCTCAAGTAAAAAAACTAGTTGCTATTGAACATGAAAAATTGCCTCCACAGTCAGAGGTTTTGATATGGGCCCGTATGGAGGGAGATTGTGAGGACAACAGTTTGTGGGTAGTAGAACCAGCAGAGGGCTAAAACCCTCGTCAAACCCTGTAAAAACAAAATAGTTCCCGTAAGAGTTCTTAACTTGTCCAGCTTTGAAAAAGTCATAAAGCCAAATTCCGAACTAGGTCAATGTGCTTCAGCAGAGGCTGTAGTCAACTGTGTGAAAAATCCTGCAAATAAATCCATCAAAGAACATGAGCTACTAGCGGAATATGTGGGAAAATGGGTAGAAAAGCTAGCGCCGTCAGATAAAAATAAAGCCAAACAACTTCTGAAGAGACATGCATCTGTCTTTGCTTTAAAAAGTGAAAATCAAGGTAGAACAGCAATTGTAAAACATCAAATAGATACTGGCGATGCGAGACCAATAAAGCAGGCCCCCAGAAGTATTCCTTTAGCAAAACGAAGCGAAGTGAAGTTAGTGAAGTTAGTGAACGAAATGGAGCGGAACGGCGTAATCGAACCATCTTCTAGTCCTTGGAGCTCGCCCGTGGTTTTAGTTAAGAAGAAAGATGGCAGCACAAGATTCTGCGTAGATTACAGAAAGCTGAATGATGTCACCAAGAAAGACAGCTATCCGCTACCTAGAATTGATGATACTCTGGACACGCTAGCTGGAACAAAATGGTTCTCCACATTGGACTTGCAAAGTGGATATTGGCAAGTAGAGATTGCAGGCAAAGACAAAGAGAAAACTGCATTTAGTGCTAGTGACGGATTATGGCAGTTTAATGTAATGCCCTTTGGACTCTGCAATGCTCCAGCAACATTCGAGCGCTTAATGGAACATGTATTAAAAGGACTTCACGGAAAGACATGTTTGGTGTATCTCGATGACATAATTGTCATGGGAAATACTTTTAATGAACACCTTAAAAACCTTGAAGAAGTCCTTAAAAGAATATCAGCGGCTGGACTAAAACTCAGTGTAAAGAAATGTGCATTGTTTCAGAAGGAAGTGAAATATTTGGGGCATCGCGTAACAGCAGATGGAATATCAACAGATGAAGATAAAATAATAGCTGTAAAAGACTGGCCACGGCCGAAAAATCTCCATGAATTGCGAAGTTTTCTTGGCCTCTGTACGTACTACAGACGATTTGTTCCAAATTTCGCCAGTGTAGCTGCAAGCTTACATGAATTGACCAAGAAGTCGCAACCATTCCATTGGGGTGAAGCACAAGAATTAGCATTCCAAAAGCTCAAGGATCTCTTATGTAAGGCACCAATTTTGTCATATCCCATACCTGGAGAAAAGTTTGTGCTGGATAGTGATGCTAGTGGATACGGAATAGGCGGTGTGCTTTCCCAAGTAATCGATGGAACTGAAAGAGTCATCGGATACTTCAGCCGAACGCTTTCAAAGCCTGAGAGAAACTACTGCGTTACTTGTCGCGAACTCCTAGCAGTAGTTGAGTGTGTCAAACACTACCATAATATCGGCTAAAGAAGAAGGTAAAAGACCAGCCCGCAATGAAATATCTGCAGAAAGTCCATTAATGAAATCCTATTGGGCTCTATGGAATAGTCTACAAGTGTTAAATGGCTGCCTATACCGAATATGGGAAAGTGCAGACGGAAAAACGGTGACAAATCTAATTGTGGTACCTGCCTCTAAAATAAATGAAGTATTGAAAGAGTTCCATGACGGTCCAAGTGGTGGACATCTTGGTGTGACGAAAACCATAGAAAAGGTAAAACAACGGTTTTATTGGGTCGGTTGTCAACAATCGGTAGCCGATTGGATTTCAATTTGTCCACAATGCATAGCAGCCAAAGGTCCAGTAAGAAAAAGTCGTGGACGACTTCAGCAGTACAACTCAGGTGCGTCATTTGAGAGGATTGCAATGGATGTAGCAGGCCCTTTCCCTGTTAGTGATGCCGGAAACCGTTATGTTCTAGTGGTTATGGATTATTTCAGCAAATGGCCAGAGGTGTATGCCATTCCCAACCAGGAAGCTAAAACAGTCGTAGGTGTGTTTGTGAACAACTGGATATGTCGTTATGGTGTACCATTGGAGTTACATTCGGACCAGGGCAGAAATTTTGAATCCGCTGTGTTCAAAGAAATGTGCGATTTATATGGAATAAGAAAAACAAGAACAACTCCACTGTATCCTCAATCAGATGGCATGGTCGAAAGATTCAATCGCACACTGGAGGAATATTTGAGAAAAGTGGTTAGTGCACATCAGAAGGACTGGGATGAACACATACCAAAATTTCTGCTGGCCTACCGAACAGCCGTTCACGACTCCACCTCTCGAACACCTGCAAAAATTATTTTCGAAACAGAACTCAAGCTGCCTGGTGATTTAGAATTTGGTATAAAGCCGTCATCAAAAAGTAAGGATGATGAAAACTTTTCCCAAGAGCAAGATGACCTTAATGAACTTCATGAATTCGTGCGGAGACGAATAAAATGACTAGTGATAAAATGAAGGCCAGATACGATCGAGCAGTAAATTCTGAAGGATTTACCGAAGGCCAGCTAGTACTACTGTATAGCCCACAACGTAAAAAAGGTTTATCCCCTAAACTGCAAACTCACTGGGAAGGACCGTATGTGGTGATTAAGAAATTAAACGACGTAGTCTACCGAATACAGAAATATAAGAGCCCGAGAAGCAAAATGAAGGTTGTACACCTAGAACGACTAGCTGCCTATGGGAAAGGTGAATCTGTGCCTATTCGGGACGAACAGGCTTAAGCGGGGGACAGTGTTACGAAATTGAATT